GATTCTTCTTCCCGATCTTCTCTTTCAGGTGAGCGCCCTGCGCACACTTCTCCTATTTCTCCTTCTTCTTCTCCTACCCCTATACAAACTGTTATGCCTCCTGACTTTCCCCCCGCTATGAGCAGGATGGGTACCGCTGCGGCTCCTGCTGCTGCGTCTGGGTCGGGCAGTAGTCGTCCCGCTGAGGGTAGTGCATTTTGCCCTTTCCAGCGCAGGCCCTGCCCTGATTTCTTTGATCCTTATTGCGAGTGAGTGCTCACGCTGGATGGGGTTCCTTTATCCCATCTTACTCGCTTGAGGTTGCGCGCAATGCGCCATAAAATGTTAGCTGATGCTGTCAAGGCTAATCCCCCTAACATGTCTCTTGTTAGCCCCATTCCCCATGTTCAGCCTTTAAACAGTTTTGCTTGGCTTGATGACATGGCTGACATGCATCGATTTGATCATTATGTATTGCGAGGTGGAAATACTAAGACTCCATCACCATCTCCTTCCCCAGCAATTCAATCAAGCGGGATGGCTTAGTCTCCTAGTGACCGCTCATATTACGACTGTCAGTCTACTTATGTTGTGGAGCCCGTAGAAGAGGGCAAAACTGAATTTTTTCTGGACGACAAGTGTTATGTGCCCAAGAACTGTGTGTTGGATTCCCGTTGGCGCAAGAATGATGAAAGGGAAGATCTGGCTGCTATTGGGCAGAAATTCTATGGTTTTGGGGAGGGTTACAAGTTGGTTCTCCCCGCCGATGGTGCGAAGTTATCAGCTCCTCCCGCAGGTGACATTGTTGTGTTTGCCTCGCAGCTAGATTTGGGTTTGAGGTTTTCTTTCGCCCCTACCTTAGAGAAGTTGCTTTGTGCTTTCAATATCTGTATATATCTGGTGCACCTCGCTTCCCTTCACACCCTGATTTGCCTAATATGGTTTCTAAGGTTTCGAAGGTATCCTGAGTCCCTGCACTTGTTCAAGTCTCTCATGAGCCTGAAGAGGTCTGCTTCTGGGACTGAGTCTAGGTGGTACTATGTTGCTCCCATGGAGTGTACGGTCTTGTCCTACCCGAAACTTGGACGTTTCAGGGACTGGACTGGCAAGTTCTTCTGGGTTAGGGTGCCTTCCAACTTTGCTGCCCCGCGCAGCTTTAGAGAGATTCGTACCAACATGGCCGGGGTCACAGTTTCTTCCTCTGAGCCTGCCCGTGAGACAAAAGCTTTTGAGGCTCTATAGGGAGCGGGGACTGGTGACTCTAAGTTTCCCAAGGTCTGGCTGCCCAACTCCATCTACATTGTGGGCAATGAACAACTTTCTGCCATGCGCTTGTTCCGAACGCACGGGTCTTGTAAGTTTTTCTGCTTTCTGCCTTTTCTTTTCCTTCCTCATCTTATTTGACTTTTCTGCCGTTTTGTTTTTCAGGCTATGACAAGTTGGACAAACGTTTGCTCGGGCTGGCTGATAATTTGAAGGACCCTTTGACCGCCACTCCTGAGAATCCTCCTCGGCATTTTGATACGCTGGAGGTGTTTGCGGGCTCTCTAAAGGGTGAGGTGCGCCTGGCTCATGCTTAGCGGCGGGCTGTTGTTGGCACAACAGCTACTGGTGAGTGCGCTAGGTCCAGCCGTGCTGGGCCTGAGCCTTCGTCCTCTACTGTTGGGAGTAGGCGTGAGACTCTCCTTACTCCTCGAAAGGATGCTTCAGATTCTGAGGCGTTAGTGGCGCCTGCTGCTTCTCTTGAGAAGCAGTCTGTTGCGGCTTTCGGCCGGGTTGCACCTCAGACCTCTGCTGCCAAAAGGCAACGCGATCAAGCTTCTGCTGAACCAAAGGCTACTGCCGATGATTTTGCTGACAGTGTTCCCCATTTTCCCTCTGAGGGGATTGAGACTACTACTACGGGTGAAAAACCCGTTTCCTCTGCTGAGCATGTTCTACTCTTTCCTTCTTCTATTAATGATACTACCGATGCGAAGGACACTACTGTTCCTTCTGCTGCAGCCACTGATTTCAGCTCCCTAATGAGTCTATCATGGAGCTTCCTAGAATTTCGCCGCGTCCCACAGGCTAAAAGGGCATCTCCGAAGGGCTTTACGGGGTGGGCTCTCCCGAGCAGGGGGTTCTCACCGGCAAGATCGTCCAGTGATTGACTGTGAGGACGATCCGATGTCTTCTGCCCCTGCTGGATATGAGCCAGAAGCGAAAAATGCTCGCACTTCTCCTGGTCCAGACCCTCTTGCCTCCACATCTACTAACACTAGGCTTCAAGGTGGGAACGCTGGTGGGGAAGACACTCAGAACTCTAGTGAATTTAACCGATCTGTTCACCAGTTCTTGAGTAATGCCTTTGAGAATCATGTGTCTGCGACCTCACTCTCTGCTGGAGGGACTTTCCGCCCCACTGGCTATTGAGTTTGTTGAGGTTCCTATTGATGTTCATCTCCGCCCAATATTTTGTCCTGCTGGAGCTGAGAACGCTCCCTTTCGGCCCTTAATGAATGTGAGGGAAGACAAGTCTTTGTTTGTGGATGACCCTTAGAAGGGTGGTACCTTAGGGTACCGTTTGACTCAAGTAGTTCGTCTTCATGAGGATTCTACGCGTAGCTCAGTCAGCCTCCTAGCTGCTACGGCCTTTCATGACCTGAAGAAGGTTAGTTTCTGCTTTCGGTCTTTCTCTTTCTCGTTTTAGCCTTTCTGTTCTTCTCTCCTTATTCTGTTGCTACTGTTTTATTAAACTTTTATTTTTAATTTTTTTTTGTTAACTTCTTTTGTTAACTCCCGCTTTGGCTCACTCTTCTCTTCCTCTGCTTTTCTTGCAGCTTGTTATGTCTGTGGGAGATTTGTCCAACGCTCTGCTGTCAGTGGAGAAGGAGTATCAGAATAAGGGCATAACTCTCTCTCAGAGGAATTTGGAGGTCCAGCGGGCTCAGGCTGAGAGGGATGCCATGGCCAGTGAGGTGACTCCGCTGAGTGAGAGGGCGGATGCCCTGCAGCTGAGGGAGAATTCCAGCTTACTCAGACCAATTTGAAGAGATGCGAGGAACAGTTGGGGACCTCTCAGGCCAGGGTGAAGACGTTGGAGACGGAAATGGCAGATATAGGAGTTGCACATACTGTTGAGTTGGAAGCTTCTAGGAAAGAGGCTCTCAGATCTTTTGCGCTCTTTCCTGCTTTTGTTAAGCTATTGGCTGATCGCCATGATGGTGGGTGGGAAGCTGCGGCTCGGTGCGTTAGCAGCTTATTCTGTGAAGGTGAGGAGCAACAGGCTCGCTTCAATGTTTTCTGGCCTAAGGTTGAAGTTGCAGGTGAGGCTGGTTTGTTTGACCTCCCTGCTGATCATCCTCGTGCTGCTGGCTGCAAGATTCCCAACTAGGCTGTGCTGAACTTGGAGGTGCCTCTCTGCCCTAACGTTGCTGCAGCTATTGGAGTGGAGTCCTTGATTGGTGATCAATAAAGGTTATGGCGGCTGTCACACAAGGTAGTTTTTGTAACTCTCTTTGGGGTGTATAGCTGCCAAAGATTATGTTTCTCTATGTAATTCCTTAATACTTTGTCTTTTATTGCTGGGTCTGCCCAGCTTAACTTGAATTTGTGTTCTCCTAACTTTACCTCCTGAGTGTTTCCTTGTCCTGGTGGACGAGGGCTCAGCTTTATTTGTCCCGCGACTGACTTGCTGAATGTTTACTCTTCCCTGTGGGGCAGGGGTTAAGCTTTATAATGTATGCTCTTTATGACCTTCTTCTGCTGCTTTGCCTGCTGTTTATTATATTGTTTGCACATTTGCCTGAAACTATGCATTTCTTAGCAGTATCCAGATATTTTAGCGCTGCAGCGTCTTTATTGCATTTGGTGGGGCCTCGTAGGTTTGGCCTCCCTGTCTTCTTGATTTAGCTGCTTAGCGCTTTCCTGCTTTTTTGTACTCTGTTGTGCTTTAGCGGAAACTTTTATCGCATTTTATCCTTCCTGCTCTATTTGCTTTAAGTACTTATGCATTGCGCACTCTACTTGGCTCTGACCAGAGGTTTTGCCTGTGCGCTGGCTGGTTTATTCGATTGCGCGTTGTTTAATCTACCCCTGCTGAGACTTATTTGTGTCGATCAGCTTACTTATGCTGCGACTTGTCATTTTGTGAGTTATCATTCAGCTTGTTTTGCTGTGACTTATTTATTTCAGCTTGTTTATGCTGCGACTTTGTCATTTTGTGAGTTGTCATTCAGCTTGTTTTGCTATGACTTATTTAATTCGTTCAGCTTGTTTATGCTGCGACTTTGTCATTTTGTGCCTACTTACTTCTTTTCGTAAGGGCTTATTGTCTGGTTGCCTTCTCCGTTCCTCTCCCCCTCAAAGAGATGAGCTAAGTGGGTTTAAGGGAGCCTTAGTGTTTCCCACATAGCTCATCTTCTTCTTTTCCCCTTTTCTCTCCTACCAAAGCTGAACGTGTCAGGCTTCCCCCTCAGGCGTCCCCAAGGTGGTGCCATGTTTTGATGTGAGCAGGTGAGGTGAGGTTTTAGGGAGGGATGCGTTTGCTTTTCCACTTTGCGCTAGAGTGCTTCTTGCCTCTAACACTTTGTTATTGTCTTTATTTGACTTCTGCATGTTAGCATATGATGCTTGGGCATAACATATTAAACAAATTTACGCAGCATACTCCTCACGTAGAGGCTTGTATTTCATTTAATAAAAATGGCTCAAATGCCTTAATCAACATAACATGTACTGAATAAAAGTTTATCAGACTTGAAACAACTATGTTTGTTTTTTCAGAATTTTTAAACAAAATACTTATTTAACACATCAGCATTGAAACTGTTTCTTAAGACCTGACCTTCTTGATCTGCAAGGAGGAACGCTCCTGGTCCAACTTGCTCGTGAATGATGAAAGGGCCTTCCCAGTTTGCTGATAGCTTTCCATGCTGATTTCCTCTTCCCACTGTTGTTGTCCTTCTAAGGACCAAGTGTCCGGGCAGGACCTCCCTATGCTTGACCCTCTTGTTGAAAGCTTTTGAATTCCTTCTCTTCTAGGCTTCTAACTTGAGAGATGCTTTCAGCTTTACTTCTGGCAGGAAGTCTAGCTCTACCAGCATACGCTTTTCATTTCCTTGCTGTTCATAGTGTTGTATCCTCAGGTTGGGGATTTGTACTTCAACTAGGACAACTGTGTAAGCCCCGTAGGTCAGGGTGAAGGGGCTCTTACCGGTTGACTCCTTCTTAGTGGTCTTGTTTGCCCACAAGACCTCTAGGACTAGGTCTGCCAACAGGCCTTTGTACTCCTCCAGCTTCTTCTGCAAGGCTGTCAGGATCAGCTTGTTTGATGCTTCTACTTGACCATTGCTCTAAGGGTGCCACACTAAGGCACTTGCATACTTGGTGCCCATGTCCCCCCGGTAGTCCTTTATGGTGTCATAGTCAAATTGACACCCGTGATCAAAGACTATGCACAATGGCACCCCAAATCTTGTGATGATGTTTTTCCATATGAATGTCCTGACTTGCGCTGCCTTTATGTACTTTGTGGGTTCGGCTTCTATCCACTTTGTAAAGTAATCTATCGCCACAATGAGATACTTCCTGTCCGCTGACCCAGTGGTGAAAGGTCCCAATATGTCCATTCCGCACTGAGCAAATGAGATCGGGCTGAGGATTGGAGTTAGATCGTTTGCTGGCTGATTTATGACAAGTGAATACTTTTGACACTTGTCGCATTTTTTCACATATGCTAGTGCGTCTTGTGTGAGAGTTGGCCAATATGCCCCCCTTCTAAGCAACTCTACTCCCAATGCTTTTCCACCAATGTGGTTGGCGCATATTCCGGAGTGGGCTTCTTCCATAATGCCCTCCTGCTCCCACTCTGGAATACACCTCAGCAGTGGTTTTGAGAAGCCTTTTTTTTTTAGTTCCCCGTTCATCACTACATACCAGTTGGCGTCTTTCTTCACCTTCTTAGCCTGCACTTCATCATCAGGCAGTGAGCCGTGGACTTTGTACGCCAAGATGTCTAAGAACCAGGCTCTCTGCCTTCCAATGCAGTTTACCTGCTCTTTTTCGGCAATGCTGCTTTCTTCTAGGAATTCAACCATCACTGTCCTTGTGAGGCTTTGTAAGGTGGAGCTGGCTAACTTGGACAAGGCGTCGGCCTGAGAGTTTCCTGCTTTGAGGACCAAGTGTATCTGGAAGTGGACTAGCTGGGCTGCCAGTTCCTTTACCTTGGTTACGTACTTCAGCATGGTGGCCTCCCTTATCTCATACGACCCCTTCATTTTGCTGGCAACGAGCTGAGAATCAGTTTGCAGGTGTACTTTGCGGGCTCCGACTGCGAGGCTCATACGCAGTCCTGCCAGCGCCGCTTCGTACTCAGCTTCATTATTCGATGCTTTGAACTTGAACTTTATGGCATACTCGAATACGTTTCCTTTTGGAGATGTCATTATGACTCCTGCTCCACTCCTCGTTTGGGCCGAGAACCCATCCACTTCTACCTTCCAGACCCCAATATCATCTTTTTTCTCCTCGTAGGAAGTTTCCACTATGAAGTCTGCTAAAGCTTGTGCCTTGATGAATGCTCTAGGTTTGACCTCGAATTTATACTCAGAAAGCTCAATTGCCCAATTTAAGAGTCTACCCGATGCATCCATTTTTTGTAATGCTTTCTCCGGCGGGTGGTTTGTGAGGACTTCTATTACATGCGCGTCAAAATATGGCATTAGTTTCCTTACTGTTGTGACCACTGCAAAGGCTAGCTTCTCTACCAATGGGTACCTTTGCTCTGCCTCGGTCAGCACGTGGCTCACGAAGTATATTGGCCTTTGTTGCTTCTGTCTTTTTACCAGCAAAACGGCTGCGATTGTCTGTATTGACGCAGAGATGTACAGCTGCAACTTTTCCCTCAGATCCGGGCTGATCATTGTTGGGAGCTTAGTCAGATACTCCTTAATACCCTCATAGGCTTCTTTCTCTTTAGCCCCCCCCCCCCCCCACTTAAATTCTCTGTTCCCTTTCAATAGCTGATAGAACGGTAGGGCCTTATCCGCGGACTTACTGATGAACCTGGTCAGCGCGGCCATTCTGCCTGTCAACCGCATGATATCCTTGATGCACTTAGGCTCAGGCAGGCTGAGGACTGCTTTGGCCTTTTCTTGATTGGAATCTATCCCTCTCTCGCTGATCAAAAAACCCAAGAACTTTCCCGAGCTCACCCCAAAGACACATTTCTTCGGGTTGAGTTTGATTTTATACTTGTTCAGGGTGGAAAACTTTCCCTCCAAATCCATTACATGTCAAGCCTCCGTGACGCTCTTGACAATTGAGTCGTCAACGTATACTTCAACATTTCTACCCTTTTGTGAAGGAATACTCTATCCATTGCCTTCTGAAAAGTTGCCCCATCATTCTTCAGCCCGAAGGGCATAGCTATGTAATTATACACTCCCCCTTCAGTGATGAATGCAGTTTTTTGCCTGACTGGCTCATGCTGGCTGATCTGATAGTACCCTGAGAAGGCATCCATGGAGATTAGCAGGGCATGCCCGCTGGTTGAGTCTACCAGCTGATCTATCCGCAGCAGCGGGTAACAGTCTGCCGGGCAGGCCTTAATAAGTTCTTTGAAATCAACACACATTCTTCACTTGCCATTTTCTTTCTTTACCATGACCACGTTGGCTAACCACTCTAGGTAGTCACAAGGATCCAAGGGTTCTGCTGGGTGAACTGGGTCCCATCAAATACCTACACAAGGAAGCACACATAAACTGCCTTCAGGGGTGGCTCGAGGAACCCCCTCCAAAGCTTAAGTTAGAGAGTGTACTTAGAAAGATGTAGAAAGTGTACTTAGAAAGATGTAGAAAGTATAATGACTTGAGTGTCTCATCTCCTTTCCGTTGTACTTTACCCTCTATTTATAGGCGTACCATCACCTTCGTGGAGAGTTCAGCCTGGTCAGCCCTGTGGGATGACTCTGCAGGGCTAGTGAGCCCTCCTTTAATTGCTTTCTCGACAGTGAGTGCGCACCTTGAGGGCGGGCGATAGTTCAGCCGGAGCTATCCTATACAACTAACCCTTGAAGAGGTGGTATGAGGTCACTCATGCCGACTCTTTGCTTTTAAGAACATTCTTCAAAACTGAGCCCAGCTGGAAGGAATAGCTCAGCAGGAGCTATCCCCTACAACTAGCCCCACAAGAGATGGCGTGAGGTTCTTTTCATGCCAGTTGTTCTGAGCGTGTAGCCTTATCGGCCATGACTTGACGGGTCGTCTAGCCGAATTAACCTGCACACTCCTAGCCCCTCAAGTCTCTAGGGTGTTGATGCGCCCTGGAGACTTGGGAGGCCAGGTGTTGTTATTGTTGAGTCTATTGTCGTATTGTTTGTATGGAGACGTTGGTTCCAGTCTTGAGAAATGACGAGCTCACGGGGAGGAATTTCAATCACTCCCGCTAAAGTCTGAGAAATGACGAGCTTGCAGAGAGGATTTTCGATCACTCCCGCTGAAGTCTGAGAAATGACGATCTTGCAGAGAGGATTTTCGATCACTCCCGCTGAAGTCTGAGAAATGACGATCTTGCAGAGAGAATTTTCGATCATTCCTGCTGAATTTTGAGAAATGATGAGCATGCAGAGAGGATTTTCAATCGCTCCCGCTGAAGTCTGAGAAATGGCGAACTTGCAGAGAGGATTTTCGATCACCCCCACTGAAGTCTGAGAAATGATGAGCTTGCAGAGAGGATTTTCTATCACTCCCGCTGAAGTCTAAGAAATGACGAACTTGCAGAGAGGATTTTCGATCATTGATATCTTGTTATTTGGCATGATTTTAGGGTACTTTTGAACCTTGTTTTCGTTATTAATCGACATCAAAGTTCATTTTTTATCCTATTTTTATGCAAATTTTGTACCATCCATGCTTCACCGGTTGTTTGTGTTTTTGATGTAATGTAGCTATTTTTAGCACTATGGACATGATCAAGCATGAGTGAGCAAGGATAAGGGCAAGCTTGGTTGATAGAGCCATGGAGGAAGAAGGAGGAATGCCTTAAAGGGAAGTGAAAAGCTTTTGGAGAACCTTGAAAGGTCGTTTGCGTAAGCGTCAACTTAAACCAACCATAACTTTTGATCTTATCAACCTTTTGAAGCGATTCAAATTGGAGATTAAAGTTCGTCTCAAAGCTTTCCAACGACTAGTCACAAGTCCATTTCCGACAAGAAACGTAGAAGTTACAGCTTCCCAAAGTTAAGCAGTCTAGGCAGGGCATCCTGCACGGACGTGCAAGATGATAGCACGTCCGTGCAAGTCTGCACGTCCGTGCCAAAAGCTGCACGTCCGTGCAGACCTTTGCAGAAGCTTCTGCCTCCATTTTGGCCCTCCTGCACGTCCGTGCCAAACTTGGCACGGCCGTGCTTAGCCTTGCACGTCCGTGCCAAATCTGGCACGTCCGTGCAGACCTGCAGTCAAACTCCTTCCTTGTTTTCTCCGTCCTTTTTATTTGGGGGTCATATAAATACCCCTTTAGAGCTCATTTGTACGGGGATGCAGTTTTTTTAGAGCTTTCCTCTTAGTTTGTAGTCTTAGAACATTAAATTCTCAAATCATTAGTTAGTTCTTAATTTTTAGCTTGGAAGCATTCAAATTCAATCATTGTAGAAGAGAAAATCCACCATTGTTGCTCACTTTGAAGCTTCATAGTAACCATTTCTTACTCATCTTTTCTACTTCTCTTTACTTTGTTGTTGATTACTTGCTTAATTCTTGCATGCTTAGATTGTTAATTAGCTTAATCCTTAGTTTGAACTTGTTCATGAATTGCTTGAAACCTCTAATTGCTTTAACCTCCATGGATTGTGAGTAGTCTAAATTCTAGGGTTTGGGTAAAACCCTCAATGTAGTCACTAATTACTTGTTGCATGTGCTAATTTGGTTGTTGTGGGATGATGATTAGTTGAGTTTAACTGGTTTAATTGCTTAGTTCTTGTATATGGCCATTGCTAGAACTATTTATCCAAGCTTTCTCAACAAAGGATCGAGAGATGAACTTGAGTTAGCTCCCTTATGCTTAATTGACCCGAAATGCCATGAGAATAGGGATTACCGGTCAAGGGAATGTTTATGTCATCGTGATTATGCTTTAACACTTGTTTTATGCTATCTAACCACGAGAGTAGGTTGTATTCACGATTCAAGTAATCCCTCTAGCTTGAGAGAGTAGTTGGGTGCTTTAGATGACTTCCCCTAATTTGTCCCATTAATTTACCTTGATTGTAGCATGCTAATTGTGATTTGTGATGAAGTTGAGTGGTATAACCCGAGCCCTAGATTCCTCTTAATATTGTTAATCTCCTCTTAGCTTTAGTTGAGTTGAATTAGAAGAAGTTACTCAAAACCAACCCAATTTAGAATTCATTTAGCTTATTTAAACGGTAGTACTCGGTGGTTGATTCAACGCCTCTCTTGGGTTCGACCCTTTCTTTCCCTTACTATTGTTAGTGAGACCAAGATAGGAATCATTATCTTTGGTAGGCTCGACGACGGCCTATCAATCACTCCCGCTGAAGTCTGAGAAATGACGAGCTTACAGAGAGGAATTTCGATCACTCCCGCTGAATTCTGAGAAATGACGATCTTGCATAGAGGATTTTTGATAACTCCCGCTAAAGTGCTCTCTTCTCTTCTTTTTTTTTAGGGGGGCGAGAATCGTATTTTCATGAGTGGGACACATGGCGGTTTGGCTTTGCCTTGTGTCTAATTGCCCATTTACTTCGTATTAATATCATTGTCCCCTCTTTTCACTTATTTCTTTTACTCCTCTAACTTTTTCAAAATTTTCGCTCTTTGCTTTTCCTCTTTCAAGCGTTCATGATCCTCCATTGTTGTGTTAAGTTCTTGCTTCTTCATCTTTGTTTTTGTCTTAATTTTGACTTTATTTGCTTTTCCCTCCTTAATTCTTGCTCCTTCACTGACTTGTTTCTCCTTTGTTCTTCTTTATTGCAGGTTCGAACTTTCGTCATGCTGGGCTTTTATTTTCGCCATTGTTGTTGTACTCTGTTGCTTCTACAACTTTTTTCCTTAAAGGTACTTACTTTGTACCTTTTGTTGTTTGTACTTACCCAATTTTGCTTCTTTTTGCTTTTTCTTCGCAAGATTGTGCCTTTTGATTCTTCTCAATTGTCGTTGTTCCCATTTCTTCTCTTTGTTGTTGTATCTTCGTTCTTGGCTTTTTTCTTCTTATTCCTTCATTGTTCCTAAACTGATTCTTTGATTTTCTTGTGCCCCATTGCTCTTTCTTTCCTTTGCGGGCCTGTATTTCCTTGTAGATTTCATAATATCTAACGCTTCTGATAGTCAGATCATGAGTGAGCCTCAAACGGCCACTAGATCGGATTCCTCTTCCCGATCTTCTCTTTTAGGTGAGTGCCCTGCGCACACTTCTCCTTCTTCTTCTCCTACCCCTATACAAACTGTTATGCCTCCTGACTTTCCCCCCGCTGCGAGCGGGATGGGTACTGCTACGACTCCTGCTGCTGAGTCTGGGTCGGGCAGTAGTCGTCCCGCTGAGGGTAGTGCATTTCGCCCTTTCAAGCGTAGGCCCCGCCCTTATTTCTTTGATCCTTATTGCGAGCGAGTGCTCATGCTGGATGGGGTTCCTTTATCCCATCTTACTCGCTTGAGGTTGTGCGCAATGTGCCATAAAATGTTAGCTGATGCTGTCAAGGCTAATCCCCCTGACGTGTCTCTTTTTAGCCCCATTCCCCATGTTCAGCCTTTAAACAGTTTTGCATGGCTTGATGACATGGCTGACATGCATCGATTTTATCATTATGTAGTGCGAGGTGGAAATACTAGGACTCCATCACCATCTCCTTCCCCAGCAGTTCAATCAAGCAGGATGGTTGAGTCTCCTGGTGACCGCTCATATTACGACATTCAGCCTACTTATGTTGTGGAGCCAGTAGAGGAGGGAAAAACTGAATTTTTTTTGGACGACAAGTGTTATGTGCCCAAGAACTGTGTGTTCGATTCCCGTTGGTGCAAGGATGCTGAAAGGCAATATCTGGCTGCTATTGGGCAGAAGTTTTATGGTATTTAGGAGGGTTACAAGTTGGTTCTCCCCGCCGATGGTGCGAAGTTATCAGCTCCTCCCGCAGGTCACATTGGTGTGTTTGCCTCGCAACTAGATTTGGGTTTGAGGTTTCCTTTGGACCCTACCTTAGAGAAGTTTCTTCGTGATTTCAATATTTGTATATCTCTGGTGCACCCTGCTTCCCTTCACACCCTGATTTTCC